AAATCGTTCCTTTCATCAGTGGACAATGGTGTTTTTTTTGTTGGATTTTAACTGTTATCTGCGTGCGACAACTTGACTGTTATTTATTTTATTGAATATTTAAACAACATACAATCATGATGTGTGAGCAWATCATTACATATCTGTATATATTTTTTAATATTACCTGTAACTTATTCATTTTTTCTTCTGATTTAATCGCCATTTTTTGCCTCTTTACTCTCAGTTCACATTCTTTCAGGATACCATCTTTTTTGGTGGATTTGCTTSTGATGGTTTTTATATGGTTTCTTTTTTCTAAAACACGAAAATKTATTATACCTATTGGCTAATACAGATGACAGAAAGTAAATTATATAAGTAAATGACATAAATTAGGATAGTACACAAACCTGGTTGTACTGGTTTTATATAGCTTTCATTAACTGGAGTTTTAGTTATATCTATTATAATAGCAGGTTTCGATTTAATAAAATCTATTTCAGTAGATAATTCATCTAAGCAAATAAATAATAAACTTATCTAATAACTTAACATTTACATAATATGATCAATTTAATAACCAATAAGTACCGGAAATCAGTATTGGCGTCTCAGCATTGATAATTCCCAAATTAACAATATTACCCGAACTATCTATAATACCTGAACTGTCTATAATATTATCTAAGTTCAAAAACATAAAAAGAAATTAAAAAAATGTTAATAAATGTATTTAAAAAAAAAAGTTATAACTCATTTGTTTTTGATTTTTCAAATGCCACACCATCACTGTCATAATTATTTGTCCACTCTACAATATGTGGTTTTCCAATAAGTTCCTCCACCTCAGGACTTTGAATGTTATTTGTTGTTTCATATAAACCTCCTCCAGTTTTCAATCTGTTATACCTTTCAGAAGTGAATGTTTTCCTAGATTTGGCCTTTTCTGATTCCCAAAATTTTTTTAAATTCTTTACTTCTCTCTGTAAGCATCAATATCAACATTTAACAACAAAATCATGCTGATATATTTTATAAAATAAATATCTAAAAATACTGGTTTTTACAAGTGAGTATACATTATGACTTTTTTTTTTTTTTTCTGTTTGAACCGACAGCAGGGGAGGATCTGTGTGAACATTACTACTCCCCATACATTATGACTTACTTTTTGGACTTCAGCATGTGAATTAAACTCATTTGTAACCTTTTCCCAAGCTTCATGTTTTTGTAGGTTTGAATTAAAATCTTCTATAATATGTTTCACTTTAGCTACACAGTGGAAAAATATTTCTTTCTCTCGTGTATCCCAATTCGGAACTCTCTCTCTTTTAAGTTTTAATAGGTTTCATTTTTAATTATATGCTTACCTAATTGAACTAATATAATTACGTATCTTTGTTCAATTTTAACGCGTGATTGTTAACGAGTTATGACAATTGACAATTTAAAAATGAAATTCAAACAATATAAAAACGATTAACGAATCACTGATAAGTGATAATTCAGTTGATAACATAAAATATCATGGAAGAATAATGCAATTTTAAGGATTACCTAACTAAGTAATACCTAACAACGGGCTACTTAAATTTTGACTATGCAATTCAAATTTACGGG